GACTGGTCTGAAATAGCCAACTCGAGCAGCCTTGGACTGTCAAATTTGGCAGTTTAAGGTGCACACTTTAAACCAACGGTTGGGATGCTTACCAAACAAACCAAAGGCCATGATTTCACACCATTAAAGATAAAATGTTCCTCTTCCACCTCCTATAAATAGGGCTGCATTTCATGGCCTGAGGGAGGGAAAAAATAGGGTCCAAAGTCGTTCAAAAACCAGCCACCTCCCCTGTTTTTCTTCTTTTTCTGCCATCTCTCGTTCTCTCCCTCTCTCTCTTCACCGTTCCAGCCACTACCAGCTTCTCCACCACTAGCTCCACCACAGGTTGCTAGCCTAATCATAAGCCGACCACCCCTACACCTGAAACAGCCACCGTTTCTTCCTCTCTTTCACTTCTACAGAAGTCTTCATCTTCTCCCTATGGACGACTCTAGCCACCGCTCATTACAGAAATGCTGCCAGAACCACCAGCTAAGCCTCTTGATCACGGCCAAGACTCGTGCTTCGAGTGAGTCTCTCCTCCGCCAACCTCCATTTTCTGTAACCATTTTGGTTGCATAGAGAACGTGAACCACCATTCACGTTCTGCAAATAATTAACATTTACCTCTAGGCCGGGCTAGTGTTGGCCTAGCCCAAGTGTCTGGGTTGGGTCTAGTCCAGCCAAAAAAACTAAAAAAGAAAAATATTCTAGACCGAGATCGGCCCAACCATTTTGGGCCGATGTTGACCCACCTCTTCTGGGACTGAGCTTGGCCCAACCCACATGTCTTAATAATATTTATTTATTTAATATATATATATATTCTTAAAAACAATTCAAAAATCATTTAATTTTTTTTATTTTCTCAAATATTTTTCTACCAATTTTTTATAATATCGGGTTGTATATTTACACTGTAAAATACAAATCTGGTATTAAAATACTTGATTTTCTTTGAAATATTTGGAAAAAAAATTTCAAAACATTTTCAAAAAAATCTCAAAAACTTTTAAATCAATTTTCCTTTTCAAAAAAACAAAAAAAAATAAAATATTTTGTTTTAATGCATACGGCCAAATCCTAAAAAAATTTCAAGTATATTTTCATTATAAGATTGCATCTTTCTCATGTTTTAAAAATCCAAAAAAATGATATCTTAATGAGTTTATGATCATCCATTAGGGTTCCGCCAAAATATCAAAAACCTTTTTTCAATTTTTTTATTTTTTATTTTTTTAGGGTCCAAATATAGATTTTAATATTTGTAAGGTGTAACATTACACGATAAAGGACATCCTCAGGTATTAAAGATACAAGATGTAAATAAATATGATACTAAAATTTAGACTTTAAAACGGTTAGGATTTAACCTGATAAGGTAGAGACTCTCTCATGAAGAGAGATATGCCTTAAGCCTTAGAAAAAAACCTACGAATAGAAACCCAACTTAGAAAAAATAATCAAACAACAATGCAGCTTACCTTTGGTAGGGTGCACTGGGGGTGATGTGTTTTTCCCTTGCACAACCAGTCCCTTACCCAGACTCTCGCAAACCATATGTTCCTAGTTACCATAATACTAGGTGGAAACTCCTAAACATTAATCATAATTCTATGATTAAATTCAAAAACCCTTCCTAACACAACACCTCACACAGGAGGCACGACAAGGAACCTCTGTCGTCGACAGCTCGCACCCCCGCGATAGCCAACAAAGATACCTGGCATGGCCTTCTTGTCAAACTTTTCCCTCTCGATCTATGGAACATGAACAAAACATATAGTTCTAAAGATTTTAAAAAAGCTTAGTGAAGGTTTGTAATTATACCAAACTTCAAAAGGTGTTTTTTCTTCCAACAATTTTGTTGGAAGTTGGTTTTAAAGAAAAACGACTGTGTTAGTTGTTTATGCCCAAAACATTTTTGGCAAATTCTTTTCATATAGCATGCATCTAACCATCTCTATAATGTATCGGTTTCTCCTCTCACTGACTCCATTTTGTTATGAAGTGTAAGGCACAATGAGTTGATGTTCAATGCTAGCATCTTCACAGTAGAGATTGAATTCTGATGAAATATATTCTTTATCATTGTCTAAACGAATGGCTTGAATTCTACAGCAGCTTTGATTCTCCACATTCTTCTTAAATCTTCAAAAAATCCGAGCAACTTCTACTTGAATTTTATAAAGAAAATCCAACACATTATAGCGAAATCATCAATAAAAAGAATGTAATATCGACTACCTTTTAGTGAAGGAGTGCTTAGAGGATCGAAAATATCAGTATGAATTAATTAAAGCTTCTGTGTAGACCTCCACGTTGATTTTGGAAATGATTTCCTGTTTTGCTTACCAAACTAACAAGCATTACAATTTTGTAAGGGATTAGTGAATGGAGGCACACCTTTTACAACATCATGCTTCTTTATATCGAGCATTTGTTCTTGATGACAGTGTCCCAACCTCTTATGCTATACTTCTATGTCATTTAGCTTTGTTGAAAAAGCTGTGTGCTCCTCCTCAAATGGTAGAAATGAAAAACTTTTGCCTCTCATCCTGGCTTTCAATATTTTATATCCAACAACATTAAAGATATAGCAAGATTGATTTTCAAAAATCACTTTCATACCTTTCTCTATTAATTGCCAACCTTAACAAATTCTTATCTATATCCGGTACATAGCGAACATCAGAAATTGTTTTTGTACTTGAGTTTGTTGTGATGGCAATTGTCCCTTTTCTTTTAGCTGCTATACAGTCACCATTGTCAATTCTAACTTTAGCAACTTCAGTAGATTGCAAAGTTCTAAAAAGACTTTTATCAAAAGTCATGGTTTGTGCAACCATTATCAATCAGCTATTGATCTGAGGAGGTTTGAACTGAAAAACACATGGTTACAAACATTTGATCTTCATCATCTTAACTAGGGACTTGTGAATCTTCTTCTTGTTTCTGAGGTTTTGTCCTGCAGATAATTGCTTCATGTCCCATTTGGTTACATTTGCTACACCTTACATTAGGTCTCTTCCAGCACTTGTATGGTGGATGACCTAACTTGTTGCAGTGTTGACATGGTGAAAAATTTCTCTTAAGAAATTTTCCTTTGCTCTGAAATTGACTAGCAGTAGTCTTGCTGTTGCTTGAAGCCTGGTTTTTCTGAAGAACTTCTTCTTATCAGAATTAGGATACTTGGATTGTAAAGCACCTTCTATAACACAATCTTGCCTCATAAGTCTTCTTTGCTCCTAAGCTTGTAAAGCTTTTAAAAGTTCTGCCAATATAATGTTTGACAAATCTTTTATATTCTCGAATGTAGTAATTGAAGCTTCATATTTTTCTGGTACCGTAACCATAATTTTTTCAACAATCCTAAAGTCTGTAAATGATGTTCCCAGCAACCTGACTCTGTTTACAATTCCAAACAATCTATCTGAGTATTCTTTTATAGTTTCAGATTCCTTCATTCTCTACAGCTCAAACTCTCGTATCAAGTTGAGACTTTGCATTTCATGAATTCTTTCATCTCTTGCATATTCTTTCTTCAAATAATCCCAAACATCTTTCGCTGATTTAAGAGACATAATTCTAGTGAAAATGGTTGTTGAAACAGCAGCAAACAGACATGCTTTTGCTTTTGATTTCCTTATTTTTCTCTCTTTGTTATTTTTGACCTAAGCCATAGTTGGATTATTTTGCAGCGAATGAACTTTATAATCTTCTTCCATAGCTTCCTATAAATCTAAAGCCTTCAAATACGTCTTCATTCTCACTGCCAGAGTTGATAGATAGTTTTCTCCATTAAAGATAGGAGAATAGATGTGAGAAAAACTTGCTTCAGTCTCTATTATAGGTCCCTTAAGAAAATCGCTCTAATATCAATTGAAAGTGTTTTAAGTGTTTGAATGTTTAAATGGAGAGAGAACGTAAAAGTGAATTAAACCAACAACTTATTGCTACTTATTTTTTTATTAAGAATGAAAGGAATAGATCACTTGATAGTCACAACAATCTTTACATTTATATAGAAATAAAATAAATGCTAACTTATAGCAATGTATCATGCCATGGTCTGTTAACAAACTAATACATTAACAATCTTTTAGAGACTAGAACAACTCTTTATTATTGCAGAAAATTAAAACAAAAAACAAAAATAAACAGTCTTTAACAACAACCTTGAAGCAAACTTCAACACAAAGAAACAACACACAATGTCTTACTCGAGCACAAAAGCTAAGTATCATGCAATGGCTAACACTATTATTAAACTCACTTGGCTATATATATATACACATCTATAGCCAAGTCTTTCTTCCCACATAATTTCTGAATTTTCATCTCATCTCTCTAGAAAAAGTTAAATTGCATTAGATTTTTTTTTGCCTCCAGTGTTAGACTTCAATACTCTTGCATTGCATTTATTAACCTCGTATTATTTTAAGTTTGCTGCCCTGAATGCCTATTAAAAGTTGGAAGGAAACGTGCAGCCATCAGGAATTCGAAGTCCTTTAGATTATTATTTTGATAAAAACAGTAAAAAAATTATTAAAGACGAAATGCATGTATTAAGATGATTAAACCCCAGATATTGACTAATTAAAAAATCTAGAATGTTTTGTGGTCAATTTGGTTCATTAAATCAACATGGAATTTGGTGTTAGGTAGTTGCTTTGTGGGATTGCTTGGACATCAAGGGAGAAATCATTTTAAAGTCGAGGAATATCTCATTACTTTTCATATGCTTAAAATAAGATGCATGCTCAGAATTTTTTCAAAGTCAACTGACGCCAACAATCAGCAAATGAATATAACAAAAATTTCAAAATAGTAAGAGAGAGAGAGAGAGAGAGAGAGAGAGAGAGAGAGAGAGAGAGAGAGAGAGAGAGAGAGAGAGAGAGAGAGAGAGAGAGAGAGAGAGAGAGAACTGCGGTTTTAACTTCTATCTATATGTAGAAGAAACGGAGCCTCAGATCCAATTGCCATGCCCCAACCCCAGGTCCTTAACACCGGCATTAAATAGAACGAGTTGTTTGATCATAACAATTAAAATGTTTCAGGAAGATGATGAGAAAAACCTCAAAATTTACTGATGGAAAAGAGAAATTAGATACATTCAGTATTTTGGTAAAGATCATTACAGGAAAGGATGTGTTCTTATCCGACACCCTTCTTTTGTCAAGTGGATGTTCTACCGCGGTTCAAACACTGTAAAGCTGATGTTATTCCTAAAAGCTGATCTTATACTACTTGATGAGGTTTCTTGTTCAGAGAAACTTCTCTCTGTGTAAAAACCAGGCTGTTTTGGCTGGGGCAATGAGATCTCACTGCTCAACATTACAACCACAGTTGACATGCTTGGCCTGTCTTCAGGTCGTTGTTGCACGCATAGAAGACCGACCTGAATGCATCTTATAACTTCAGACAAAGAGGAAGAGTCATCAATCTTTTTATTCATGAGCTCCAGTGGCCTGCCTTCATTCCAAAGTTTCCATGCCTGCACATATAGAATTCCGAAGAATAAGTTCTTATAGATGGAATTGAGCCAATTCGGCAACAAAGTAAAGCTCATGAGATTGCAAGAAAAAGCAATCAAAACTACAAAAATTTAACCCCATTCATTCTAGAGTACTACGCCATTATGTATGTTGAGGTCTTAGCAGACGAGGAAATGCAGCTTTACATCTTGCATGCGTGTCATTCTTTATACTTACATGTCCAAGAAGGTTATGGCTGTGATCAGGGTGGAAAAATCCTCTGTTTTTCTTCGCACTCACTATCTCAAGTACTAAAACGCCAAAGCTAAAGACATCAGATTTGATTGAGAAGAGCCCATCGACCGCATACTCGGGAGACATATAGCCACTGAAAACAAAATTGAAAAGTAAAATTACACTTCATTTTCTTTCTTGGATTTGGAAAATTTTGCCGAAATGAAAAGGAAGACTGAAGAATTAAGTAACGAAGTCCCAGTACACATACTATGTTCCAACAATCCTACTAGTATTTGCCTCTATTTGATCTCCCCCGAATGTTCTGGCCATGCCGAAGTCTGATATTTTTGGGTTCATAGAATCATCTAGAAGCACATTGCTGGCCTTGAGATCCCTATGTATAATCCTCAATCTAGAGTCTTGGTGAAGATAAAGAAGCCCTCTGGCAATGCCGCCAATTATGTTGAGGCGTGTTTGCCAATCAAGTATGTTTGTATTTGTTTGATCTGAAAAATTCCTCTGCAAAGTTAGTCAAATCATGACTTCTTGAAAATGTAATCCTAGGATAAGAAACAAATATATCGAGATGTTTATAGCAGAACAAACCGAATATAAAGTTGTCCAAGCTTTTATTAGGCATGTACTCATAGATCAACATTCTTTCATTTCCTTCAATGCAACAACCAAGAAGCTTGACAAGGTTGCGGTGCTGAAGTTTTGCTATCAATATAACTTCATTTTTGAACTCTGTTAGTCCTTGTCCAGAATCCTTTGAAAGCCTTTTCACCGCTATTTCTTGTCCATCACTCAATGTTCCCTGAATGATCAGCAAAAGTCAATAAACCCTCTCGTGAATTAACTTGTATTAGCAGAATATTGCAATTTTACCTTGTATACAGATCCAAAACCACCTTCTCCCAGTTTGTTATTGAATGAAAAGTAATCTGTGGCGTATTCTATAGTGGTAAAATCGAATGCCGGTAACTCCATGCCATCCTTCCTATCGCTTTCATCCTTGTAATTCTCAATGCGGATGCTTGGGGTGAAGGCTAAATAGTTCATGATTAGTTAGCCATTAACAGACATTATTTGAAACAAAAATATTTAAAGCAACAACTGATTTTGTTTTCTGATTGACATCTGATCTCATTCAATCCTTGTTTGCATACTAATTCTGTTTAATACAACAGCAAAATTAACAGCATTTTTTTTATGGAGCTATTATACCTTGTCTTCTAGTATTCTTTCTCCTCATGTACAGGATCAATCCTAGTAGAAACACGACCACAGAAGGAATTAATATGCCAACAATGATTCTCCTAAGCTTCCTCCTGCTCGAACTTCTTTTCTTTTCATAACTACCTGAAAGATTGGGAAGACTAGTAAGTAGACAGCCTGACAAGTTCGAATATAAGCTGTGTCACTGGATGACTCTGAACTTGCAAAATTCATCTCATTCTACATCATTTATAATTAGTTTCAGATATTCACATCATAAGTACTTCGAAAGAAGAAAATGAAGCAAAAGAAGAAAAAACTAAAACATGAAGAAGGAAGGAAACATACGTAGTTCTGAAGCAGCCATTCGTATGTAGAGATCTTCCCCACCCTGCGGTAGTTGTTTAGTGTCCTTGAGCTCACTGAACCAAAGGTAGCAGCCACTTCCTCCTCCTCTAATATCTGAATTTGAGTAGGCCACACACGAACAGTTTGAAAGGCACATATTCGCACATTCATTTAGGCTCATGCTAGTATTCACCCAGGAATCAGACATGTCTGGCAATTTGACACCAGTGTGCTTCAGAAATCCATCTCCATTATTACAACCTAATTGAGTTCGTCTAACACAGCCACCAGACCAATCTTGACTGTTCCATCTGTCAGGAGTCTTGGGTACGAAACTTTCCAAGCATGAACAAACAGCTTGGTCATTGATGCTGCAGATACCATTAACACCACACAAGCTATAAGTGTCACACTGATCGATCTGCACTACAGAGTAAGGTGCCCAAAGATTCGTTTGAGGTATCCATGTGAGGCGCTGTGGTATGCCTGCTGGACTTATCACCAACCTTGATGGAATTGAACTGTTTAGAAGATCAAACCTGTAATAGGACTCATTGGGAGTTGAAACAAATTGTTCTGTGTACACAGTATTCGATACCGTGTCAGGGACTCCCCCCCAACGGAAACCATTCCATGTACCGGTTCTAAACAGAATTGTAAGCCCCCTCGTAAGCAGCATTTGGTTATATCCACGAGGATCCAACCGAAATGCAAAATCACCTCGAGCAGGATCATCTGAACTCTTCCAAGGTGATATATACCTATCAAGACCAGTCACCAAATTTTTTCCCCACTTCATCCCTGGAAGTAAGGTTTCACTCGGATAATCAAAACTCTGCCACAAAAAGTTATCCGGATTGTTGTCATTCCCATCTTTTACAGCAAGATTTCCCGAATCCAAGAGCTGTACAACAGGGTTCAGGGCAGTTCTTGAGACATTAGATGACCAAACAGCATAATTAGTACTATTGAACAGCACGAGAACTCCTTGAGCAGTTACATTTAACACTCCTAGCCGATCCACGATTGGTTTTTCTCTGTTGGCCACCCATACAGAAGTTCCAGGGGATGTTTTTTTGTACCATATCCCCAGGTATCTATTTTTTGAACTACCTGGGCTAAAAAATCCCAGTTCAAAATTTCCCTCAGCTGAAACCAAAGTTTCTCCATCTCTTATCGACTGACCAGGGGTAAGAGTCGCCGATATGGCAGAGATTCTTACAGGGGAAATCAAAAGAAAGATGAAAACAAAGACAACTTTAAATCTTTCCATAGATTTTCCCAGAAAGTTTGTTCATTTTGCTCCAACCTTGTCTATTTACACATAAGGACTAGGACAGAGAGCAGCTACGCTTTCACCTAGAAATATCCTATTGTATTTTACACAACTTGCAATATAATACCTTTTCCCTTTAAGAAACAGCTAAACCTGGCCTAATCATGAACACTAAAATCATTATGTTGAAAAATGCATGACAAAAACACGGTTTCTGCGCCCCATAGATTGACTTAACCATCAATATGTTAGAAATATATTACTCTTCCTTGTAATGTCAACGAAGCATATAATCTTACATTGACTATTATATATGTTGAATTCAAACTTCTTGTACCAGGTTTCCTTATTGACCCGATACCTCAAGCTGAAATTCTAGACTTGGTAGCGGAGACACGAGACAGCCAATACAAGAGTTGATATAAAAAACAAGTTTTCCTCTTGTATTAATTCCATGGGATGACTTCTGTTGCTTAACAAATTAAGGACGATGATAATCGCGGTTGCTACCCGTCATGAACCTCATGATTAATTATTTTTCTCATAATATAACATCAGCAAACCATGCCTACCTACAATATACATACATGCATATATATATATATATATAGCTTAACTGACCTCTCAAGTTCATACCGTTTTATTTTACATGATGGTAGGTTCTTAGGCATATATATTTTACAAGGAGATAAATATTTCTGATGATGAGACAAATATCAATCGAGGAAGAACTAGTTAACAGTGACAATGAAGATTAGCGATGGAGGTACAAAGGCAACGATTCCATTAGTTAAGTCATGGATAGTATAATACTTTTCTATTGCTTGCTAGCATAATTAAAAAGTCGGTGTCTGCAGCCGACCATAGGCTTGTAGCATAGTCTGCATAGTCTTTGCTTTGACATTTTCTTCCTGCAAGCAATGATTAGGGTTATGGATGTAGAGATTTTATTGTACTCTATGGACTACATAACTACCGAAATTACTCAATTAATCTATTAATAACTTTTTTGGTGGATGGCCAACCTACACTATTTGCTCAATTAAAAAAAAATTTATTATTTCTATGTAGAGATATAAAAAAAATTAGTAATGCTGTATAAAAAAATATAAATTCTTCGTACAAACATACATGACAGTTATTTTTTTTCATAGGAACCAATCATTTAAAATTGACGAGATTCATAGCTATCACTTATTGGTTGACACGTCAATTTACATAAAATTTAATATAAAAAATTTATTTTTAAATCTTTTTTTTCATTTTCTTTGTTCTTTAGATTTTTTTGTTTTCCCTCCTCTGAAGGAAACATGGAAAATTAACTGGAGGGGGTGGTCCTAATCAAATAACAGTCCCAACGCACCTTTCCAACTAGGCGGGCCTTCAATTCTGAAGTCTTTTGAAAACCTAATATCTTACTGCCGTACAGTTCATGCACCAAATAAGACTTGTGCCATGCTATGGAATGAGGCCTTTGAACACTTTAAAGGTTATGTCCGAGACAGTTACATTATTGTTTTAAAGAGTTTTTGTTTTTAATATATTAAAATAATATTTTTATATTTATTTTTTATATTAGTTTGTCAAAATAATTTAAAAATACTAAAAAAATAATTAATTACGACTACAAATGCAATCAGGAACTTGTTAATTTCAGGAAACAAATAAAGTAGTTTTTATGATGATTAAAAAATAATAATTTTTAAAAAAATTCAAGTTATAACACTATCCGAAATGTAGACTAAAAATCTAATTTTACTTCATTTTTTCCAACCAGAAATTATGACTGCAAATGCAATCCAGAACCTATTAATTTCAGGAAACAAATAAAGTGGTTTTCAAAATGATCTAAAAATAATAATTTTTAAAAAAAGTTCCTGCTAGAACACTATCCCAAATATAGACTAAGAATCTAATTTTACTGCACTTTTTCCTGCCAGACTGCAAATGCAATGCAGGAACCTATTAATTTCAGGAAACAAATAAAGTGGTTTTCAACCAAAGGAATGAAATCAAACAGTTTGCACAAGAAAATCTGAAAAAGAAAATAGAAAATAGAAATGATATCAAACTAGGAATTTAGACAGAAAAACATCTCTAGGGTACACTCTAATACACAGATCTTGCTAAAACATTTCTCAGTTCAATAAAAGATGTTTGCACAAGAAACATTTCCATTAGTCTAGCAAGCGATGATCTTCTACCGTGGTCCCAGAAATGAAACAGTGATTTCATTTGTGCAAAATGATTTTTGGTTGCTTGATGAAGACTCTCCTTCAGGTAGATTCCTTTCTGTGAAAAAACCTGGTTGCTTTGGTTGAGGCAACGAAATCCCACTGCTCAACATTACAATCACAGATGACATGTTTGGCCTATCTTCAGGTCGTTTCTGAACACATAAAAGACCCACATGAATGCATCTTAAAATTTCAGATAAAGTACAAGAATCTTGTTCTGGTTCATTGATTAGCTCCAGAGGTCTCCCTTCATTCCATACTCTCCATGCCTGCAAAACATCAAAACCAGTTTGTTAGACTGACCTTAGACACTTCAAGCTTCTTCTTCGGTTTTTTCTGAACTTCATTTATTGTAACTTACATGTCCAAGGAGGTTGTGGTGATGATCAGGATGGTTAAAACCTCTGTTTTTCTTTCCACTGACTATCTCAAGTACTAAAACACCGAAGCTGAAGACGTCTGATTTAACTGAGAAGAGCCCATCAACTGCGTATTCAGGAGACATATAGCCACTGAAAAAGAACAAAGAAAAACAGGAAGTAAAGTGCAAATTAGCATTTCCTGTTTTACATTTGGTGACAAAAAGAGGTGTTTATATCAGCACAGAATAAGATATCTGCAGAAAAAAATAATGTCTGCGTATACTCACTATGTTCCCACAATTTTGTTTGTGTTGGCCTCTGTTTGATCTCCACCAAATGTTCTGGCCATACCAAAATCTGAAATTTTCGGGTTCATACCATTATCTAGTAGCACATTGCTGGCCTTGAGACACCTATGGATAATACTCAACCTAGAGTCTTGATGAAGATAAAGAAGCCCTCTAGCAATTCCGCCTACAATATTGATCCAAATGCGCCAATCTGATGAATTTCTAGTTTTTCTATCTGATCAATCCCTTTACAATGCTAGTTCGATGTTGTATTAAATTTACAAGAAAAAATGTAATTCCAAGAGAATAATTAAATATCCAAGTTTATAGTAGAACAGACCGAAAATGTAGTCCAGCCTTTTATTCGGCATGTATTCATAAATTAATGTTCTTTCATCTCCCTCAATACAGTAACCAAAAAGCTTTACAAGATTGCGATGCTGGAGTTTAGCAATCAATATGACTTCATTTTTGAACTCTGTAAGTACTTGTCCTGAATTCTTTAAGAGCCTCTTCACTGCTAATTCTTGCCCTTCTATCAACGTTCCCTGCAAATCATCATAACAAAGTTACTACAACCTGCTATGAATGACTGCACTTAGAACTCGAAGAGGCTGTAACTTTTACCTTGTACACAGATCCAAAACCACCTTCTCCCAGCTTATTCCGGCTTGAAAAGTTATCGGTGGCATTTGCTAGTGTGCTAAGATCAAATTTTGGCAACTCCATGTCTTCTTTCCTCTGATCTTCATCTTCGTAATTCTGCAGGTGGCTGGTTTTCATGTTTGCTAAATAGTTGGGGATTCATTAGGCCTTGGCAGATCAACTATTTCAGAGAAAAGATTTTTAACTCTATATGCATATAATCACGCATATAATCACAGTGAAGAAGTGACTTCATTTATTTGTTTGTATTTGCCCCACCCCACCAGCCTTAGCCAAAGACTACATCCCTTCGCTGGGGCGCCACCCCCACGTCAACTTGCTGGCCTCAAGATTGGAATCCAAGAAGTCGAGGAAGAGAAAATATCTCGTTAACCACCATGTGTTAGCAATATAGATACAAGCAATGCTCCACCTTTACTATGTGTTTAGTAAGAATATATAATCTCCACTTAGCACAAGTGGAGGCAAACAGTGGACATAATTCATGGCATGATTTATGCCCTTTACTTCTAACTTTATATAAATACATGCTCAGTGAAGAGCTGTCATGTAGGGTGAAAACATAAAGAGAGAAAAACGAGAGAGAAAGAGCAGTAAAAAGAGCTTGAGTGTAGAGTTGAGTTGAGAAGAGTTTTCTCCTCCATTTTATTTGTATTATTTCTTTGAGTGATTAATACAAATCAGTAGCTTCGTAGAGTAGGCAAGTTACCGAACCACGTAAATTTATGTGTGTTTGATTGCTTGAATGTCCCAATAACTGATATCAAAGCTTGTTCTTGAAAAAGAGAGAGTTTGATCAAAACTCAAAGTTCTCAAAACGCGTTTTTGAACATGCCATCATGTAGAAGAAGATGAGACGAATCCACTGGTAAAAACCCAGTGAAGAACTGACGTCCTACATGCCCACTGATTAGTATTTAAAAGTGCATTTTTATCAAGGTTTTATATCATCATTTTGCACTTGAAGTATCAATAATACCTTAACTAAAGCATGTTTTATAATAACGTATCTAATAATATAAGATACATTTAATTTATGGTAAATGTTCATTTTAAATGCAGGCCTATCACATAAATGAAAGGATTGATTGATGAACTTAAGAACTGAAATTAAAAGGACAAAGAGATGGCCAAACTTAGAAAAGAGATGTTGGTGCAATCCAAACCTTCCGGTGGAACCATGCAGTACCAGATATAGGCCTACAATTTAGGTAATTGGGTCATATCTAGAGCTGTATATCTCATATTTAGGTCTACTTTATATGGATGGAAAGGTAAGACATAGGCCTACAACTTTCATATGGAGCACAAATCTAAAAAGGCCATTTTCAAGTCCAAATTATAGCAACAACAAAGAAGCCCGAATCTGTCTTCCAACCCGAGCACTGTTCAGTATTTGACCCATATCTGGAGTTCTAGAAGTCCAAATGAGCTGAAGTTTTTACACAAGAAAGCTGAGACAATTTCCTACAACTTGTATGTTTTCAAGTGGCTCCAATTTTGACGTTATCAATGACGTTTTGGGTAGACAAGAGAAGATAAAGATTGTCACCAAGTCAAGAGTTGGTCACCCACTCATCAATTAGTCATCAAATCAATAGTTTCCAATTTTGGCTTATAAAAGGAGGCATTTGCCATGCATTTAGGCATCTTGGTTTCTAGATCAAGATCATGCTCTTGCTTTCTCTCTTTGTATTTTTTGTAATGTTTATGCTTTGCTTTCATTAATATCAAGTTTATGCCTTTCATTTCCTTTCATTTACTTAGTTAACTCTTATCTTATTTATGTTCATATTTTGTTTATTTATTTTTCTTTTTTTTATTATGTTTAGCTAAGTTTATTATGTCAAGGTGAAAAGGTTACACTAATGGTATAAGAATAAGTATAGTGTAAACTTAATATGGACTTTAATGTTTGATACTAACATGTTTTGTATTTATTATCTTGTTCCCTCTTTAATACTTTGCTTGTTAAATGACTAATCTTAATTTATATTGTATAACACTTGGTACAACAAATGCTTGGCACTTTCATAGTGAGAAATTGCTCCCATTAAACCTCTCAATCTCATACTTTGCTGTCATTGTATTCACCGAGATCTATTTAGCTATCACTGTTTCATTGATCTGCAACGTATACAGAAATAATATCGTGTGAATAATACTTCACTAAGTAAGTTCGTAAGAAAGATTGGAGGGGTCACAAACAGTCCCGCTTAAAACCCAATCTCCTTAGACAGAACTTTTTAGATTGTATTTAATCACCGCATTGACTTTGTATATACACCAACAGTAACATGTGTGAATAGTACCGTATAGATAAATAGTGTCGTAAAGGTGAATAGTGTTGTAGACATAAATAGTAACCGTATACACAAAAAACTTTTGTGTATTAACAACACTAACTAGAAGGCTCTGATACCACTATTAGGATATTGACATGCAAACCCGACAAGATAAAAGGTAAAGGATAGAATAAAATGAAAAATGAGACACAAGAATTTACGTGGTTCACCTAAATTAGGCTACAACAATTGGCAAGTATAGAAGGATTTTACTAAATAATATGAGAATTACAACATCTCTCTACTAATAGGAAAACAACTAAAATCTCTCTAATAATAGAAGAAAACACCTCACTTACTCTCTCACAAATACCTCATAATTTTATAGGATTACTTTCCCTCTCTTACTCTAATCCTCCTCTCTTATTTCTTTCTTATGTGTGTATTAAGGCTTGGATGCTTTGCCTATTTATAGGGAAGCATCCATGCATAAGACAAGGGGCACCAATTGGTGCTGCAAGTGGTACCGAATTGGTGCCCAACATTGTTGAATTTGCAGCACCAATTGATGCCTAACATTGTTGACTTTATCAACAATGCTTAACTGGCTTCACAATGAGGTCAGGTAAGAAAGGATATAGAAAGCATCTTTGTAGTTAGAGTTGACCCAAGTACTTAATAATTAATATTTCAAATTTTCTCGGAGGAATTGTAGTTTGCCAATCAATACCCTTACCATTTTCCAGGGCTAAAGATTTACTTGTTCTATCAGTCAACATGATTTAAAATACCTGGGATTCCTTAACAGGCTTTGAAATAATTAAGAATTGTTAACATCATTGAAGACATTTTTGTTCATGCTGCTAGGGACCATACACATTGATAGCGAACCTGTTATAGTCAGGTTTCTAGAATTATACGACACCTAAATTTCCAAAAAGAAAAGTCCAATAATTAATTAATTCATCATCTTTCCATAAGTGTATTTTGATCTCATGTGATTCACAGGCATCAACCTTGCTACCAGGCATGAAAGCTCATAATGCATGATTTTAAAGGTGAGTATTTTCATTTATGTTTAGATTTTGATTAAAAAAAAAAACACAACCGAAATATATATATATATATATAACTCGACTAAACTAGAAACTTGTTTAAATGAGGTCGGTTCAAGATTTTAAAGAGAATAATCAAGACCTATTGGTTTCTTTAGTGAGTTTGTTGGGGGTTTTTTTGGGCTTTATATGGCCAAATTCATTATATTTTTATAGAAAAAAAGGGAAAATAAAAATAAATTCAGAAAATGGATAAGATAATTGTAGATATATAAATATAATCACAAAAATAAAATAAAAATGTTGAAGAAGATCTGAACTTATTCAAACATCTTTTATATTATAAAAAAATAGTTTATAAGAAACATATTCATAAGGGTTGATTTTTATCATGAAATCATATTAAAAAAAAAACATATTTTATATTTGTTCATGAAGATTTGGTTCGGTTCAATCGATTTCAAAAATCTTAAACAGAAATCAAACTAAACCTAATTTGTTTTTTGATTTTCTAATTAAATTTTTCAATTTTTTTCTCAGTTCGGTTTTTTTGTTATTTTTTTATTTTTTTAATCAATTTTTTTTTCTCATTTCTTCATGATTATTAAAGCAAGAGAAACCTCAAATTGGATTTAAGCCATTCGATAACTTGTTGATAGTTTGATAAAATGACTAGACTTGGCCACTAATTGATAGGTTGATAGAGTGACTTGCACACTTTCCAATGAAAATAAGTTTCTTAACGAAATATCTAGCTCGCCAGTCTCACGTGAAAGAGTTGTATGGAAAAAGTAGTCTCTGTCAAAGCACTGTTTCATTTTGTGGCTGGCAGTTCAGAGGAAGTTTCAAACTTGAGATAGGTTGTCTTTTCTTCTTAATGATCCCCTTTGTGTATTCTGCCAGCATGAGGAGGATTTGCATGACCATTTATTTTTTACATGTGAATGGACATCTTGCTTATAGGGAAAATTAAGTCCTGGTTGCGGCTTGGCAGGAACATGAAGACTTTGTATAGTGGCCTGAGGTTTAGGAAAAGTAATCTTAAAGCTCGGATGCAAAGAGTTTCCTTGGGTATCGATGTCCACAAGTGAATATTTGAAAGAAAGTACTTAGGGGTTGATAGAGTCTTCAGGAGATTTCAAATCTTATTCTGTACAATATTCCATTTACATGTCGCAGACCACTCCTGACTGGATGTTGGCTGAGTTTATTTTGCTTTTGTTGTTGGGATTCAATTAATGGCCCTTGTGTGTTTTAGTAGCTGTTGGTGGTTCTATTATGTTTTAGCTCCAAATTGCATTAGCTATTGGATTTTTTTTTTGTTAATATTCTTTTTGGTTGGTTATCTTTGATATCTGATGTATCCTTGGTTCCTTAGCTAACTAATGTGATATTTTTTGTTTTCTCTCTAGATAGCTATCTCCCTATATTTTAGATGAATGAGAGCATATTTTCTTTTGCTTCTGATTTGATATATGTGTATATATGACTTGTCAGCTTCCTGACTTATTTTATTTTAATTTATTATATTTTTATATTTCATAAAAAAAAGTTTCATAACAAAACCTCCAACATTTAAGTTAGTAGATGTAGGAGATGAATAATTAATATATGGAACAAGAGATGTAGTAAAGTGTACCTAGCAGGGGAAAAGTGCGCAAGAGTATATGTAGGAGGGGAGTAGTGTGCGTAGGTTGTAAGCTATGTTGTTATTATTGGATTTACCAAAACTCTTAGACGCAAAAAAGATCATTTAAAGTGTGTTTTTTTTAGAGTTCCAAAAATTATGTTAATAATCAAGGTTGTTTAGTGTTTAAACAAAGATGTTTTAATAATTAGATTTTTTTATGATATTTGATTAACTTCTTCAAAATTAAGTTATTACAAACTACAAGTATTTCAACTTTCAAAACTCTAATAGTAATTTATATAAAATACTAGTGAGAAATCTCTTAAAATTCTTTTAAAAAGAAAAAAAAATGGTGATGTCTTGAGTGTTAATTCTTTCTTTTATCTACTCTGATTATCTATGTAGGTGGAC